GATTCCAAGGGTAGACGATCTCTTCGATCAACTTCATGGAGCTGTAATTTTTTCTAAAATTGACTTGAGGAGTGGATACCACCAAATCCGGGTGCGACCGGGAGACGAGTGGAAGACCGCGTTTAAAACGCGAGAAGGTTTATATGAATGGACAGTGATGCCATTCGGTCTATCAAACGCACCTAGTACCTTTATGCGACTGATGAATCAAGTGTTTCAACCACTTCTGAATAAATGTGTGGTTGTATACTTCGACGACATCCTTGTGTACAATTCCACGGTGGAAGAGCACCTTTCGCACTTGAAAAATGTATTTGACATTCTTCGTGAACAACAATTATTTGCCAACCCACTGAAGTGTCATTACATGACAGATAAAGTTGCATTTCTGGGATTCATTATTTCTCCCCAAGGCGTGGAAGCTGATCCTGTGAAGATTGATGCAATTGTTCACTAGCCAACACCTCAATCAGCTACAGAAGTTCGCCAGTTTCATGGCTTAGCTTCCTTCTACTGGCGGTTCATTCAAAATTTTAGTTCTATAGCAGCTCCCATCACTGAGTTGCTCAAAAATGAGAAATTTCAGTGGACTCCAACTGCCGAAACTAGTTTTGAACAGCTTAAGCAAGCTGTTTCGACAGCTCCTGTTCTGGCATTACCAGATTTCAAGGAGATATTTGAGCTAGATTGTGATGCATCTAACTTGGGAATCGGCGCAGTGCTTAGTCAAAGAGGCCATCCTATTGCTTTTTTTAGTGAGAAATTCAGTGATGCTCGGAGGAAGTACCAGTTTATGACAAAGAGTTTTATGCAATTTTTCGAGCCTTGCACCATTGGGATCATTATCTGCTACCCCATGAGTTCATTCTATTCTCCGATCACGAGGCCTTACTCTTCTTGAATAGCCAAAAGAAATTAAAAGGTCGTCATGCTGCTTGGGTAGAGTACTTGAGTGCTTTTCATTTCGTTCTAAAGCACAAGTCAGGGAAGTGCAACCAAGTTGCTGACGCCCCTAGTCGGCGTCTAACCTTGATTCAAACTTTGCAAGCCAAAGTTACAGGGTTTGAGTTGCTCAGTGAATTATATCCGAAAGATCCTGATTTCGGAGCCCTGTGGAGCAAATGCCAGAACGGTCCATATCAGCTATATCACAGAGAACATGATCAACTCTTTTATGGCAATAAACTATGTATTCCGCAAGGTTCTACAAGACTTGTTCTCATCAGCGAAAGCCACGAAGCAGGTATCGCAGGTCATTTCGGGAGAGATAAAACTCTTGCTTTAGTCAAAGAGCATTTCTTTTGGTCACTCCTTGCTCGGGATGTAGACAGATTTGTAAAACGCTGTCGAGTTTGTATAGTAGCTAAGACTCATGGACAGAAGCTGGGGTTGTATACACCCTTACCAGTACCTGAAGGACCTTGGGTTGAAGTCAGTATCGACTTTGTGCTTGGCTTACCGCGTACACAAAGGAACAAGGATTCAATTATGGTTATGGTGGACCGATTTTCCAAGATGGTTCATTTTGTACCATGTAACAAAACATTAGATGCAACTCATGTCGCCGATCTATATTTCAAAGAAGTGGTGCGCCTACACGGTATACCGAAGACCATCACCTCTGATCGCGACGTCAAATTTCTAAGTCATTTTTGGAAGACCTTGTGGGGCAAATTAGGTACTAAGCTTCAATTCAGTTCTACCGCCCATCCTCAAACGGATGGACAAACAGAAACTGTCAACAGGAGTTTAGGCAATCTACTCCGGTGTTTTGTGGGCAAAAATCTGAGACAGTGGGATCTAATTCTGCCACAAATTGAATTTGCTTTCAATAGATCAATAAATCAGGCTACAGGACATACTCCCTTTCAGGTAGCTTACGGCCATAACCCCTTAACTCCTACTGATTTAATTCCCCAGGTATGCCCGGAACAATTCAGCACTGATGGAGCTCAAAGGACCAAAGAGATACAACGATTGCATTAAGAAGTACGAGAGCTCATTCAGAAGCATAACCAGAAGTGTCAAACGGCTGCCAACAAATCTTGGCGAGACGTTCAATTCAAGGAAGGCGATCAAGTCTGGATCCGACTTCGAAAAGAGCGGTTTCCCGGTGGTGCCTTCGGTAAACTTAAGCCGAAAGCTGATGGTCCATTCAGAATCATCAAAAAAATCAACAATAATGCCTATCAGCTTGCTCTTCCTGGTGATTATAACGTATCGGCCACCTTCAACGTAGCTGATCTATCACCTTATTTTGAACCTGAAGTTTCTTCTACTCCGGGAGAATGACGCCGGGCTATATACACGCGTCACAGGCTTTATTTCAGCTACACAACTTCAGTAGTTACGATATTTTTTTTTTAGTTTCTTTCCCTCTGTATTGCCTTGAGTTTAACTGCCGTTTGTATAAATATTGGTAGTCATTGATTAATAAAGGAGGTTGATTGTTTTGGAATTATAATTCCTTTTCTTGGTGATGCTTCTGTATCCTGACCATCGTCAGGTGGTGAATTAAGCATTGTTTATCTGTATCCTGAAGACTCCAGCGACGGTACCCTGTGTTGGCCTTGGGTCCGTTCCCTGTTCCTTTCAGGTGGTGGTGTTCCTAGATGAATCTTGATCTAAAGAAGGCGACAAATCTGCCAGAGAATTGATACAGCGAGGTATACGGTTGAATTATCAATTGTATCACTTCGTTGTTCAAGACCGCGACGATCTTTGTTGTCTCAGTCCGGTGTCAAGCACCAATGCCCGACGCGCCTCGCGAATCGCCCGGCGCGCCTCGCGATGCTGCCCCCGCCGCTGCTCCGCGCCGTCGCCCACTGCCTTGCCCCGCGCCGTCGCCCGAAATCGGGTCTGGTCGGGTCAACCCGGCAACCCGCAGGGTCGGGTCTGGTCGGGTCAACCCGGCAACCCGCAGGGTCGGGTCTGGTCGGGTCAACCCGGCAACCCGCAGGGTCGGGTCTGGTCGGGTCAACCCGGCAACCCGCAGGGTCGGGTCTGGTCGGGTCAACCCGGCAACCCGCAGGGTCGGGTCCAGGTTCGGATTTCCAACCCGTTTACCTACCCGGGTTGGGTCCGGGTTCAAATTTCTGACCCGATTGAACCCGGGTCAGTTTCGGGTTCGACCCGAACCCGACCCGTGACCCGAAATTGAAACCCCTAACTTCGATCACCAAACCATAAACTTGAGAGATTTTTTTTTCTTCTAAATTATGTATAAAATTTTATAATCTCAATGGGCATAATGTGAGCATTTTTTTTTTTTTAGGCATAATGTGAGCATATTACAATTAATTAGAAGAAGCTAGGAAGCGATAATTGAAGCATCATATGGCCTAATTTTGAATTTAAAATTGAATGTATTTAAAAGCTAAAATCACATAAAAATATAATTAATTTTAAACTTGATTATTTTACATTTTGCAATTTTAATTTTGAAATTATCATTTTAATTAATATTCAAATATTATATTTTATATATGCTTTTTTTCCAAATTCAAATTAAAACTTGTTGTGTGCTAGAAAATTTGAGTTAGTAGAGTGTATTTTTAAGTCTTAGTGGTGTACAAAGATTCAACAATAACATATAAAAATAATAAGTCCATAGAACTTTTTACATGAAAAACTCGAAAAGGGAAAAATTACAGGGCTTAACCCAGTTACAAAATCCACTATAATAAGTTATACAAATTCTCCCATTCATCACTGTTGAACAAAAGGAATGGTACAAAAATCGAATATTTACACACAACAACAGAGCCTAATATTTCCAGGAGGAATTTTAGAAAGTGTTTATATGCGAACAAATATACCGAATAGTAGGGTCAAATCTTAATAATATTTTTTGGAGATGACGGTGATTATCAGTGGTAGTAACTAGTGCTTGTTGGGGGCAATAGTTGGTGGTTGTCGGTATTAATAGTTGGTAGTCGTCGGCAATGACGATGGTTGGAAAATGCTAGAGAGTTTTTCCTTCTTCTCTCATTTTTCCCTCCTTATATGAAGTATTCTACCAAATGGTTGAAAAATGATGGTCTATTTATATTTTTTTTTAATGTGGCATGCTTAGTAAATTTAGATAAGAACCAGGATAAATTTGGAGTATTCTACCGGACGGCTCATAGTGATTCATTTGATCATAGATCATGTCAGAAGGGTGATGAGGTGATCTTGGGCTTGTTGGATTTGTCTCATTGGGCAGCTCCATTAGAAAATAAGAATGTCATATTTGAATAAAAATTTGTCATCCAATCAATTCTTTTAGGCTTTCAAATAAGCTTCAATCCTTTGATTCGAGTCAATTTGAACTCGAATTAGATTGATTTTGGTGTCATCAGCTTCATCTTGTCGAAACGTTCAATTTAAGTAGACATTTTGAATAATATCAAATGATCAAGCGAGTAACCATCTATTATATATAATTAATGTAGATAGAATTAGGAAGTGATAGTTCACATTATATGATTAACATGTGGCCTAATTTTGAATTTAAAATTGAATGTATTTAAAAGCTAAAATCACATAATAAATATAATGAATTTTAAATTTGATTATTTTACATTATGCAATTTTAAATGATCATTTTTATTAATATTCAGCTATTATATTTTATATATGATTATTTTTATTTGCAAATTCAAATTAAAATTATGATAATTTTATGTATATTTAATTATGTATGCCAGCTGTTTTATTCAATGAATATATATAGTTATATAAGTATATATAACTTAAAACTTTAATGTTAATTTTAATTTATTTATATTTTAATTTAAATCAATTTACTTTAATTTTAATTATTTAAATTGAAGTTGAGGCCTTATGAAATAGTTAATAATTTAATTTAATTTTATCATTAATTGCAATGCTTTAAATTTACGGCCCTGAACATCATATCCCACGGCCCATATTTTTCGATCTCCAATTTCCACGAATCTTAGAGCTTTCCGCTCTGGAACCCTACACCGCGTCAGTTTAGAAGAACAACGGGGTATTTCTGACAAATAATTGCGGTTAAGTGGAAGGAAACATCCTGATTCCTCCGGCGTCGGCCCTATTCTCCTCTCCCACCCTCCTCTGACGTTCTCTTATTCGGATTTCTCTCGCAAAACCGATTGCAGACGCTTGCAGAGTTGTCGAATTCTCTCCAAATGGCGAGGTTTCTGTCTCGAATCGTTCGGAATCACGTCGTTCCCTTCATCCCGAGAATGAATACCAGGCCATTCAGCTCCTCTACAATCTCCGCTGATCCCCCGAGGGAGCACATGGTCTCCTCGGCCGCTATTCTTAACGATCCTCCTCCGGTGACCCCACCTCCTCCTTCCTCTCCTACGGGCACGACCGGTTCCGGAAGAACCTGGGGCCTACTCAAGTTCGGGGCTATTGCGGGTATCACCAGTGCCGTGGGCACTGCTGCCTATGTTACCTACGGTTCGTCCTCTCTTCCTCATCCTTTCCATTAGCTTTTTGTTAAAATTTAAGAGGGTTTAACTTCGGCGAGTTTAGATGAGGCCTACAAAATTGTAGAATACGGGTCATATATATTCGGCAGATTTTTCTTCGAGTGACAGAGGATTGAGGCCTTTCCAGTTACTTGTGTGGAATTTATTATTGTAAAATTTCCATATATTAATTACAACATCGTGCCTAAGAAGTCTCAAGCCCTTGGATGCTAATATATCTTCCGACGATTCTTATAACTTTCATATATTCCTTTTTAATGAGATACTGACTATGAAATGAATGGCCACCGGCCAGTGACCAAATTGCTGCTTATTGTTGTGCGACATTTCCATAAGCCAAAGGATTTTTATAGCAGGGTCTAATATTAGATCGAATTAAGAGGGAATTAATAATGTTGTAATGGAGCTCTTGAGCAATCTTGACATAGATTTATAAGCTTAAAAGCCATACATGACAAGTATATTTGGCACCATTAATAAATTCGTGATTCATTGCCTCATACATTCTCACTTAAGTGTACCTTTTGAAGATCTATGCTTTTTGCCATATATCAAGTTAATCCCTCAACTTGAGGTCAGCCAGTCACAGGCATAAAAATGATTTAAAGCCTTTGTAAATTTGTATACAAAATAGGAGTATGCATCACTCCGTGACTATTAAACATTATGTTAAACTTGCAATCTTTCATTAATATTAGGCAAAAAAAGTTTCATTAATATTAAAATTTCTTTGCAGAAATGGCCAATTGTTTAGAACTTTGATATTTCTTATATGTTATGATGATTGTTTTTGTTTCACTTTGGCATCTTATGAATAAACAAATGTAAAGGGTTTTGCTTATCTTTTAATTTAGTGTGATCGAATTCTATTTTAAATGTTTTTACCGTGATGATATGGATTTGTTAAATTTTAACTGGATGGTGTGAGGAACCAAGCTGCAACTTATACAATTTACTAGCGACACATTCTAAAGACTATTGCTTTGTTAGGTTTAGTATTATGCTGATGAGAGATTTACTTTCCTTGGTTTCTGGTTTATTTTGTGTGGCAATGCTGGTGGTTAACCTGAAATAAATCTTTACTGAATTAATTATTAGATTGCTATTTTTTTGCAGTTCTTATGATTATCTATTGAAAATCTTTCTTTCATGAGAATTTCTGAAAGCTAAATCTCTTTGAGCTATCCTCTGGAGTTTAATAGGAGTCAAACTAGTCATTTGAGCCGTTAAGAGGAAATAGTTCCTGCTCCATTATTCTTGAAAATCATAAGCAAGTCATTATTGTTTTTTGTATTATGAAGATTTTTTCTTGTTATATCTACTTTGTTTGGAAAGCACCAAACTTTTATGTGGAGCATCTACCGAACAGGTCCAATACAACAAGAAGATACGAATATTTATGTGGGTCAATTAAAATAAACCTATGAAATCATAGATCATCTTATCAACCATAGAGAAGCCGCAATGCTGTACAAATAAAAAGTCCATAAGAAAACACACATCATCAAACTCAATTACAACCTATCTTGCCCCTAAAAAAGTAGTTCTAAATCTCTCTAGAAAAATGAAATAGAAAAGATAATAAGCAAACAGAATTTGACTAATACCAACAATTACCCATTTCAAAAGGTCATCATAATGGTACATCACACGTCTCCATGGAGTCTTTGCAAAATCTTTGGTTAAACAGTGCTTGTAGCTCATCAAGGTTATACTCCAAGGTTGTAGAAAATAGTTTCTTTTTCCTCCTGCTCTTGTCTCTTTATTAAATATTTTCCCGGGCTATTTCCTGTTTTGCATTCAAAAGCTTCTTGCCTTTCTTAATCCATCCAGCACACTCCACGCCTCCACAAAAACTATCTCACATTCTACCCAATGCATGCACAACCTATGCACTTATAACACACATCTTCCACTCATACTAGCTCGGCAGCTCCTTACTTATGGGACTGTAATATTAGGGGTGTCAATTCGGGTTAACGGGTCGGGTTCGGGTCGAATCTGAAACTGACCCGACATTGTTCGGGTCAATCTGAACCCGACCCGTTTTTAAAAACGGGTCAAGTTTCTGGACCCGAACACAACCCTATTCGGGTCCGGGTTAACACGACCTGACACGAATGACCCGAAGTTGACCTAAAATTGCTAGTTTTCGGGTTAAAAAATCGGGTCAATCTTCGTGTCAAAATCGGGTCAATCTCGGGTTTCCGGGTCAAATAGGAGTTTTCGTGTCAATTTCGGGTCATTTTCGGGTCAATTTTGGGTTGCAGGTTCAACTTGAACCTGACCTGATTTTAAAACGGGTTGATTTGTTGAACCCGAACCCGACTCATTTCGGGTTCGGGTTGACCCTAACCCGGATTTTTCCGGGTCGGGTTTGGGTCGTATTTCGGGTCGTGTCAAAAATTGACACCCCTAGACTGTATGGAGGTGATTTCAAAATTAATCATTTTTATATTTTGAGTCAAAAGTATCCAAAATAATAAACTATCCTAATGAATTTTCGAACAAAATTTTATCTTTAAAACAAATAATAATTTTTATAATCCCAACAACATTCTAATTTAAATATGCACATATCCAAAAAAATTATTGAGTCAGAATTTTTAACATTCGTTGCGCTCTCCTTATTAGTTTCATCTACACATGCTACCACATTTTTCATTATCTGATTTCTTTTATACTTCTTCTCCTGCTGCGGTGATCTCTTTCCATCATATGCATATTTTTTGGGTTAAACAATGTTGTGAGATGCCAACATTAACTGGTTTTTGGAGAACATAGTTTAAGGTCAGTTGCAGTTAAAAGGTGGTTGAGGAAGGCCCACACCCCCTAGGATTAGAATAAATTTGTTTTAGTTGCATATAGGATTGTTGATAAGCTAGCTTAGTGTAGCATTTTCACCCCTCTCTCTTTAAATCTTTGTTCCTGCACTGTGAATATAGGTACGTTGTTGCCTTCCTGAAATGTAAATATAAAGCACGAGGTTAGCATATGGAGTAGATTTATCAATTAGGACTATGTTTCTTGTTGTTTTTCTTGTCACCTCTTGTTTATCAAGAATTTATTAATTTAATTTAAAATTGATTAAAAGATTTTGGAGAGTTCTCTTTATGCAACAATTATTTTTTTGGCAGTTATAGCTTATATGTATTCTATCTGTAATTTGTTCCTTGTTTGAATTTGATTGTTAATATCACCGTCCTTCATATTGACATTGCGGTATTAATTTTCTTTTATTTCTAAAAAATGTTAATGTTAATGCAGCATATACTGTAGATGAAGTGGACCAGAAGACAAATACTTTTCGAGCATTATCAAATTATTCTGTAGGAGATGGCGCATCTTCTTTGGAAGTTAGTATTAATTTCTGTTATCAAGCTCAAGTAGTCATGTTATCAACTGAAACTTGTATGCTCTGCTGTAAAAAACTTCTTATTCATTTCATTTAAGTTGTCTAAACTAGCAGCATTAATACTCATGGTCTCAATACATACCATAACTTCCATGAAACTATAATTTTTCAAGCTATTTTTAATCTTTCTGCTTATTTCAATTTTAAATCGGTTGATGTGTCCCTATTAATCAAAATAAGCACTACTTTGTAAGCATGGGGTAAAGTAGCTAAAGCATTTATAAGCCATATGTGAAGTAACCTGAGAACAAGATTTCTGGTTTGGTAAAACTTTGAAAACTTATTTGGGAAGGTAGCTCCTGATGAAACATTCTTCTCCTAACAACTTTTGTGGACTTGAAATAAGGGAGTTACTTTTAGTTCGAAGGTTAGTTGGTTCAAGCGGTTCAAATAGTTGCAGTGTAGATGATGGAAAGGAGGCTTCCAGTATTGATGATTACATAATAGAGGCATCAAATATATTCCTTCTTAGTTAAAAGAAAAAGAATATTTTTACAAGTATTGTAAGATGACTAGAGGAGAGAATTTGACCACATAATATAAGGGTAGTAGTTATGAATATATATGTTAAAGTGTAAATAAATAATTTAAATAAATTTATATCTTAGGATTAGGTGTCATGATTTGAGATGCGAGAAATTTTTTGTCTTTCCATATAGATTGTTAATGAAGGAATATTGGAATTGTTTAGTTGAGCCAATAATAAAATTATTAAGATAGTTAAATTCTATTAAGAGAATTATTGTGAAGTTTCAGGAGAGTTTAGAAATAGAATAACCTTAATAAGGAGATTTAATGGTTGGTTGTGGAGGCACAAAGAGTTATTAAGGAAAAGAAACAAACTTTAAAAAGTGGCAACCATTAAAAACTACCGAGGATTATAATTATTATATGAAAACTAAAATTTTTACAAATAGGTTAATGAATAAATTAATAGTTAAATTTTTTTATGATTGATGCGATCAAAAAATATAGGGAGCCTATATTTTTTTATCACAAAAAAGAAATACGGACTTCTACTGACGAAAATGACTAAGGACAAGAAAATGAAATAACAAACTCTTACATTTCAAATAAAACTAAAAAGAAGAAATTAAAAGACTACAAACAACGTTCGATCTCAAAGACACCCTAAAGTTGTTGCACTTAGAGAAGAGGGATACAAGTGGAGTGGCACTTGCGGAGAGACGGAAGAGGTTAGAAGCCCGAGAAGAAAGGGTGGAAAGAGCCCGCAAGATTTCCGGAGGGGATGCGAAAGAAGGGTGGAAAGAGCCCGCAGGATTTCCAAAGCCAACCCGCAGGTTATAACTTTTCCAAAAATAACATTTTATAACATCATATTTTAAACATAAACAATCCCCCATATATATAGGTATGAAAGGGAATACAAAGAGACACATTACATTAATTTAAACACAAGATACAAAGCACTAAACCCTAATGCTTTGCACGGAAAAACAACCCAAGCCAAGGAACCGAAGAGGCAACCGGGGGAGCCAAGGGGCCACGACCTCGGGAAAGAGCCCAGGCACGGGAAAACCAGCGGCCAGCCAGAATTCCAAGAGGCAAAGCACAAAAAACAATAAGCCATGGTGGAAGCCAAGGAGCCACGCATGGGAAAAAACAAATCTTGGAATTCCAAAGGCCGGTTTGGAATTCCAAGAGACCTACATAATTAAAACATAAAAAGCATAAAAAGTAAGATAATAAATGAACTAAAATGTTAGCTAATAATGAGCTAACCCTTAGTTCAATAAGTGAACTAAAGACCAGCTCATAAATGAGCTAAAATTTCAGCTCAATTTTGATTGAGCTAGTAGACTCAAGGGAAGCCAAAAATCTAATTATTTTTGACATGAGTTGACCCCCCCCCTTTGTCTACATCAATGATTTATATGATTAGCTTGGTGTTAAGAAAAAAAGGAGATATAAAATAGCGAAGTTAGATCAAATGATTTTAATCAAATTAGATACATTAATAATGAAGATAATAGAATCTTGGCTAAACATCAACAAAATAGGAGAAATATTATTTTGAGAAAAGAGAAAAATACTTGGCTAGAAAATATTAGAAATGACTTTTCTTTATTAGATTTAAATGAGAATTTGACTCTTAACAAAACACAATGGAGAAAAAACGATTCATGTAGCCGACCCCATATAGTGGGATAAAGGCTTGATGTTGTTGTTGTTGTTGAGGAATTACTAAGTTAGAGATTTAAGTATTAAACTACTTTGGAGAGCATAGTGAATAATATAATGAAATGTCACTACAGGAAAATCAGGAATTACTTGTGATTTTTTTCGGTAGTTTCATAAAATGCTGGCGGTTTTCCGGCGGTTAGTAAACCGCCGGTATAAACCGAGTAGGAAACAATTTCCGGCGGTTAATATTACCGGCGGCTTTCCGGCGGTCATAGCGCCGGTTACCGCCAGTTAATCACTGGTGGCTTATCGGTCTTCCAAAATGCCGGTTTTGCTGGCGGTTTAATCGTCGGTTAACCACTGATTGACCGCCGGTGACCGCCGGCTATATTAAAATTCCAGTGGCTATAATAAGCCGTACAATATCGATGTTTCCGACCGGTTGGCCGCCGAAAATATGTATTATTTAAAAAAAAATTGTTAGCCCCCCTTTATTACTCAAATTTCTACAATAACTGCACAAAATTCAAAACATATATAATAAATAAGATCAAATATATATATATATATATATCATTCAAATGAAATCCACAATAAGCATAACCAAATGTTAAAACAAACATAAATGCATATGTTCTACAATAAACATAACATATAAATCCACAATAAGATGTACATGTCCTCCGTGTCCTTGCTTTCACACAACAAGTTCATGTCGGTGGCCGGAGTGGGGACGAGATCGTCAGCCGGAGTTAGCGTGTTGGTGGCTGGATTCCTACGCAGGTAGTCAGAGCGGCGATCACGAGCAAGGGTCTGGAGAAATGATACGCGAAGAAGAAATGAAGATGAAGGTTCAATTTGGCCAGTATTAGGGCCATTTCCGGCGGTTTCGACAGTCGGAAAAAATCACTTAAAATCGGCGGCTTAGCCACCGGTAAAACAGAAAACCGGCGCCCTTGCCGGGGGTTATTATATCGTCGCTAATTCCGGCAGTGTATTATTAAAAACCGCCAGTTACTACCAGGCGGTTGTACCGCCGGTTTAACCGCTAGTAATTCCGGCGGTTATATAACCGCTGGTAATTCCTGATTTTTCTATAGTGTGTATTATAGATTGATCTAAATAATTGAGGTGGAGTTAGCTCCAAAAAAGATGTATGTGGTACTTATTGAAATTTGAAGAGTTATACGAGATATTATATATCTGATTTACATATCCTTTCATTTTAATTTTAAATATAAAAAAAATATCAAATGATTGTAGTAGAAGAAGAGCTTTAGTATCAATATTTAAGATGAAAGACGATGGTCAAGATTGTGCTATCTATAAAGAAATCAAATTTATGAGTCACATAATGAAAATATGAGGAGATAATAGAATATATGCTCAGAGAAATTACGTCAATTTTCTGAGAATCAATTTAGTTTAATGCCAGGAATATATATTATGGAAGTTGTTTTTGTGTTATGACAATAAATGTGAAAATATATAACTAAGAAAAGATCTTCATATATTTTTGTATTAGTCTTGATAAAACATATGATCAAGTACCACAAAAATTGATTTATTGTGCATCAAGGCAAAAGGTTTTGTGTCCAACGTATGTTGACATCATTAAAGATCCACATGATGGAGCACTATTTAATATTAGTAGTTTTGGCTTGACTTTAAAAAGTTAGATTTATATAAAAGATGAAATTTGTGTTTATATCTTTTTATGTTGGTTATGGAGATGCCTACAAACGATAGTCAAAATTGGTTACCTTATTATATGTTTTTTGCATATATTATTATAATTAATGAGATATTCATTGAAATAATTTAAAAATCATAACTATGAAGAAAATTTTGGAAAATAAAGGCCTTATAATTGTTATAATATAAACTAAGCATAGGACATGTCATTTTAGTGGACAAGTTAAAATTTTTTATTAATATTATAAGAAGATAAGGTGATGATACCTATGTGTGTTAGGTTGATGCAAGAGCATTTTTAAGACTAGTTCGCAAGAATTTTATGTTATATGTAACTGATGATGAATTGATGATATTATTATAAGAGCTTCAAGTGCATGAATTGTGGCCCGAGGCATAACATCATGAGGTGGTCAATCTTTCAACCTCTTCAAAATTTATGATTATCCAAATATTATTCAAATATCCTTGAAGCTAAACCCAACCTAAGTTCCTGCATAATCACATTTGTAGTTTCGATAACAAATTTATCATTTCATACCTAATTTTTATACATATTTTTAGCTTGATGTGATCTATAACTTTCTATAAGAAAGAGTTTCTAAATTTTGTCACCTAGACCTCCATAAATGTCCAATCCAACACTCTACCTTCCCTCTATAATTGCATCTTTTCCCATGCATGAACCATGACCATCCTTCTTCCACTTCTTGGAGCAATAATTTTATTCTTGAAAAATTGTCAATGTCTTTTCAAGCCTTTCCCACAATTAATGCAAAACACTTTCCCCATAATTGGTCACCCATTGGAATTCTCTCTCATTTTATGCGAGTCTTTGTATAGTCTTGTTATTTGTATAATGGAAGAAAAGTTGAATGAAATATATTTTGGAATACAATTACTTTTAAATTTTGGCAAGGAGATGGACTTCCTTGTGCTTGGATATCTAAGTCATGGTGATGAACTACCCCGAAAAAGGAGATTCAACACTAAAAACAGATTCATGGCGAAGTGCTATCCATGGATTCCTTATATTCTATCACCTTTGGAGAAGATCGACCAATATTATACTACAACAACAACATCAAGCTTTTATTAACAAATCTAATACATCTACTCTCCTAACTGAGTCATCGTAAGACCGACGTTTTATGTGACCAAACCATCTAAGGCGAGTCTCTCTAATCTTATATGCCATTGGAGTTACTCCAACTTTTTCACGTATATACTCATTTCATATTCTGTCTCTAAGAGTGAAGCCACTCATCTACCCGAGCATCCTCATCTTTGCACCACTTAATTTTATGCTTCTCTTTTAATGGAATATAATAATATAATGAGGGACTATTCATGAAATTGATCTAAACATTCCTTGTCCTTTTTCTCATTATGTGTTTTTTTTAATAAAAAAATGTAGGGCCTTTCATTTTTTTTTATATTAGTTTGGTATCATATCAAGTTGATTTTGCATTTGTGGTGCTCATTTTATTGTGTCAAGTTTAGTTTGGTATACTTCTTATGTTTTGAAGCTTATTCTATGGCGTCGAATTCTTCAAAGTTGGGGAGGATGCTGCTTGAACATTTTTTAAGCCTAAATTGGTGAGCGTATTAGTTTATTTAGAACTATGGATGTTATTATTCTAAGAGGGTTAGAAAGTTAAGAGTATTAATTGATGCATGAGACATAATATCATGAGTTGACCAATCATCCCAAATCTATGAAATTTCATGATCTCCCAAACTTATGCCTCTCCTTGAAGTTAAAGTCAACCTAGTTTCTTACATAATCATGTATTAGTATTTTGAACATAATTTTGCATAATATATTTAAGTTTTTCATTTAATTAGTTAATTCCAAGTAGCTTAATATGATTTACTACTTTCTAGAATAAAGTTTTCCCAAATTTCATCATTTAGAGCCCCATAATTTAATAAATTGAGGTATATCACTCAAAATCCAAGCCCTTCCCCCCTCCATGAATGCATCTTTTTCCATGCATAAAACATGCACTTTCACCTACCTGTTTTTTTAGAAACAATCATTTTTGTCTTACAAATGGTTAGTAACACCTTTTCCCCTGCCAATATTTAATTTAAACCTCTTTCCAATAGTTGGTCACCTTTTGGAATTCTCTTAATGTGACTTGATTGATCATTTGTGTGAGTCTTTATATAGTATTGTAATGGCTATTATGGATGGATGGATAAATAAAATATATTTTTAGGAATATAGTTCTTTTAATTTTGACTAGAAACTTCTTTATGCTTGGAGATCTAATTCATGACAATGTACTATCCATTAGGGGTGTCAATTCGGGTCGATGGGTCGGACTCGGGTTGAACCCGAGCTGACCCGAATCTAAATGGGTCAACCTGAACCCGACCCGTTTTTGCAAACGGGTCGGACATTTCAACCCGGACCCTACCCGCTCTGGTTTCCTGGTTGACCCGACCCGGATTTTGCAGATTTGGCTGAATCGCTGAAGCAGTGCGAGTTCGCGGAACCGCGAGTGAGGCTGTGCGGGATCGCGACGCGAGCGCTCCTACGAGCGGCAGCGGCGGAGTCCAAGTTGTGACTCGCGAGCGCGTTGCGGAGCGGAGCTGGTGCGGGCTAAACGCGGGATCTGCCGAGGTGCCGAGTGCGAGCTGGTCGCCTGGTCCGGCTGGACGCGGGATCCGCCGAGGCGCCGAGTGCGATGGGATCCGCCGCTCCGTGGCTGTGCGGGTTCGCCGGGCTGGACATGCGCGATGACGTTACTTGACGCGGACGTGACTTCACCACATGACGCAGACGCGACCTGAGCAGCGGGTTTGCGAAATGGGTCAATTCAGGTTGACCTGCGGGATGTCAACCCGACCCATTTTTCAAATGGGTCAAAAATCCGAACCAGGACCCGACCCGTTTCGCAAACGGGTTGACCTCTAACTCGGATTTTTCCGGTTCGGGTCCGGGTCGGGTCAAAAGTTGACACCCCTCCTATCCATGAAAAGGATTCAACATCAAGAGTGGATTCACGGAGTAATTTCTATGGATCCCTCTTATTCTATTGTTTAGAGATGATCGACTATGATTGTGGAGAAGACAAATATGATAAAGGACTGTTCATGAGGTCGTTTACAGATTCTTTGTTTGTTCTTTCTCTTTATGTCTTTCTTTTTGCAGAAAAAAGCATTCAGATGCTCAGTTTTATTCCACATTATAAATTTAAGTATCTTAGGTCTGTTATGCATGTGAATGGAGTTATAAATGAGGATTTAATTTCTGGGGTTCAGACTGGATGATTAAAATGAAGCGTGTACCTAGAGTTTTGTATTATAAGAGGAATCATGGATGCTTAATTGTAAATTTTATAAAACTGTAATTTGACAATCAATTGTATGGATATGAATATTTTGTTGTAAACAAATTATTTATATTATGGATTAAATGAGAATGATATGATGTTTATGTTGCAAAATTAGTAATTGTAAATTAATAAATGATTGTATTAGAGTAAAAATTAGAGTTACATATATTGAAGGTAAGATGATTGGAAATAGATTTAGGTGTTTTGTATATGTTCAAGGAAGGTTAGAAAATGTGTTCATTTTATGTGCGTATAAAATTAGTCTGAAGGACTTCAAAGGAAATGGTTATGCCTAAGAGTGTATGGATAGAAGTTTTTTAAAATGATTTGCAAATAATATGTTAAACGCCTCAAATAACACTTAATAAAGACAAATGAAAAATGAGGATTTATAATGCCAACCCCAATTAATTGGGATAAGTTTAAAATTGGGTAAGACTGATGATGATTATATGCATTCATGTTTGCTTCTTATTCTACAAGGAATTTTGATATTTTATTATACGGCCTTATGGTGACATTGACATGTCTAACAATTTTTGTTGTGATATTTTGCATATGCGTGATGCTAATTAATAATGTGGAGTGGCTTTTTGTGGTAAATGACTAAAAAAATGCATTTTTTTGCCATAAAATGACATTTGGTAGTGAATTTTCTTCTTTTAAACAAATTTCATAGTTTTAAGGGCATTCCATTAAACAAATATTTCCACTCATCTTTTATATGTCTCATAATTTATGCTGATTATGATTGTCTTTTCTCTTTCCTACAGAAATATAAGGCCATGCTATACTCCACAGCTATAAAAGGTAAGGATTCTTCATATTGTTCTCATTTTCTATATTTAACTTTTTAGTTGTTTGATAAAAACTATAATATTTTGGTGTTTGTGTTTAAAATTTGGTGAATGAATCTTATTTTATGTAAGAAAAAAGAAAATGATCAAAATGGCTATTGGATTATTTGTGAGCGACCATTTTAGTCCTAAATTATTTAAACCATGTAATTTAGTATTTTGATTTGTCAAAGATAATCCAAAATATTCCTATAGTTAAAATCATTTTTTAAATTGATAGAGATTTAATGCAATGTTTGTGAATGAGGTGGGCTATGAGGGGTATTTCATGCAGATCAAGACATAAAAACATGATTTTTTGATAATACCTTAATTCTCACGTCATTTGTCAACTTTGCATGAAATTTCTATCAAATTAACTAAATATCGGAATATTTTGTATCCTATTTAAGGAGTAAATAGACTGAATTAGACATTTTAATGGTTTGGGTATTAAATGACATCTAATAAATAGTCTATGGATCATTTGACTATTTTGTCTAATATAATGATATCCAATTTATGATGCATATTATTATCCAACACCTACCTCTTATCCCTTTCAAAAAAGGATTAGAAAAAGATAATTTCAAAATATAGGAACATTTACAAATTATTATAGACTTTTTGACATAGGTTTTGTTTGGGATGACTTTCTTATTGCTTCTTAAAGAAGCTTTCTGAAAGCTACTATAAGAAGCAGTAAGAAAGTCGTCTCAAACGAAGCCATAGTTTTAAATATGTATTATAACATTAAAGGAATGAACATTTCCTTATGAAATGATGGAAGTTAGCTTTATTTCTATGAGTTGCATTCATCTTGTGTGGATACACAAATCAACCTAAAATCAGAGATGTGGTTGGAAATGCCATATTTTTAACATCCTTGTAATTACCATAATTAAATGCATGCCCCCTCATGGAGACATAAAGAAAAACAATAATATAACAACTCTTTATTTGCGATGTTTAAGGCTTACCTCACGCCTAACATAGTGTAACAAATCTCTGGTCAATATAGCAATCATCAAGCATGTTGTCAAATAATTTGGTATGGAACAATCTTTGTATGTTGTGATTATACTCATGTAATATCCTTCTTCTAATTTTTGTTTTCTAATGCCTCAAATAGGCTTTGGAGGATTGTAATAGTATTTTAGTTGATAGTTGTAAGGAAGGATTCATGTATAGGAGAAATTTTTTGAGAAGATGCTAGGTTATGGTGTACAAAGGAGAATGTAAGGTAATAATTTGATCAATATTATGAGAGTTATCTTACAATGCTTTTGAGTGTTGAGTTTGTTGGAGATTTTAGATGAACTTTTCCCTCGTGTAGACTTGCAAAGGTTTAGTAATAAGAGTATTGTGTAGTTTTTGTGTTTGTGTAGACATCATATCAAATGAGAAGATGTTAAGTTCATCAAACTTGTCTTCCATTTAGTTCCCCCTTTGAAGACAAGTTATAGTGATGAAGTTTATTTGTCATTAAAAGTGACATCTTTTAAAATAATGATTTGTTTGTGGATGATAGTATTTATATATATTTTTTGAGTGGATGAGTATTCTAAATAGGCACACTTTAGTGCCCTAGGATCAAGCTTACCTTGGTGTTTGTGGATGTGAACATTTGACAAACCAAAAATTGTTGGAGGAAGTTTTTAGAAAATATTATTTATAGAAAAATATTTAGAAAGATAGTTTAGGGGACTAAAAATCTATCACTTTTGAGAGTCTTTTATTGATTAGATATTTGAAGGTTATGCAGCTTCTCCGCAATGTCCTTTATTTTAGAAGAGAAAAGTCTTGATAACTTTTAGGAAATGCTGATTTTTTCTTTGTCACTCCATTTTGTTGTGGGTTGTCATGAGGATTGATGAATAATAGCTTCTATATAAAGAAAAGGAAGATAAAATTTAATTAGAATAATCTTGAGCATTATCAGTCCTACTTTTTTTAATGTTAACACCAAATTGCTTTGGTATCACAAAGATAAATATTAGGTAAATACAACTAACATCAAATTTTATCTGATAAGATAAACCCATGTTATCTAAGTGCAATTATCAATGAATGTGTCAAATTTATATTAGTTTAAAAAATATTTGGGATTTTTTACGGTTTTTAAATATTAGATTGAATTATCAACAAAGGAGTAGAGGACTAGTTTCATTTTTAGAAATAGAATTCTATGATGTTGAGTAATTTCACGAGTTTCATAATAGAAGTTTTTAATGTTATCATTTATAAAAGAGAATGAAATAAGTTCTTTCAGGACATGGATTTACTTTTGTCCAAAAAAAAAAAAAAAACTTTAAGGATCCAAATTAACTTTTGTCATTTTTGAAAAGATTCATTGGCAATTAGTTTTTTACTTTGAGTTTATATGAATGTCATGACCAATATTTCTAATTTGTGAGTGTCAAGCATTACGATCATTATTCTTCTGTTTGGATAATCAAAATGACATCATTTAGGGGTTGCAGGTTTTTTTTTTTTCTGAGGATTTGAATATGAACTTGATAAAATTCAACATTGAGTCTTACAAGAAACTCAAAAACAGTCTTTTTTATATATTGTTTTAAAACTATAGCATCATCACCACACTTCTTCTTTAGATCTTGTTAGTGATCTAGTTCTAATCAATATGCCTTCATTGCTTTGAACTATTTAATAATAGAGAGTTTGGCTTGCTTGTTTGTTGAAAGCTTTGTCTTTGACTCTTTATCTCATTGATGAGAGCAGCTTCTTTAACTCTTACATAAGTCTATTTGACAGCTTCCTAAACATCTTTTGCAGTTATTAGGAGTATTTATGGTCTCCTGATTTTAGGCAACATGGTATTCTATAGCTATAACATAATAATGTTCTCTACTTCATCTTAAAGTGAAAACTTTGGTCCTTCTAGATCCACAGGAGGATCAACAAAATGATGGACTTTTCTCTATTCTTTCAGAAGGTCTTCATTATGTAACCCCTGCAATTCTACTTTGATAGAATTAGTTTGGTTTTCAACATTTATAATAATCGACTCTTTGGAAGGAAAGTAGAAAAAATCTGACATGATTAGGAGAATAAGAATGAAAACCAGTAGAAATAAAGGTTTGAAAAAGGCCCCTAATCTGGCCCTTACCATATAGAAAAAGAGAAGTAGCTATAAAACTTGATTTTTTTTATTCATCCTGTGGGTATTTATATACAAATGATTCATATAATAATTTAGGAAACTATACAATTCTGATACGCCAAGGGGAGGCCACTTGGCCGGTCTAGACTAGTCTATGCCAGCCTAGCCTTGGCCAAACTTGCCCTTTGGTTGGGCGGAACCAGGGGCAGCAGAGGAGGAGATTTCAGCCCCCTTTGTGGGGTCCAGGGGAGCTATTATTCATTATGTAAGGAGGAAGAATCAAAGTGGAGTTGTTTAGGAAGGTTTCCTAATTGTGTTTATACTGTTTAGGAAGGTTTAATTGTTTATGAATGTTTATTGTGTTTATACTATTTAAGAAGGTTTTAATTTTTTAGGAAGATTTCCTAATTATGTTTATGCTGTTTAGAAAGGTTCCAATTATGTTTATTGTGTGTGAGGGTTATTAAGGGGGAGTTTTGTGTAGGATTATCATCATATATATGTTGAGTTTATTTTCTAGGGTTTGGTGAGTTTCCTAGCGGCGACTAGGATTTGTGGGAGAGCCGATCTATCTCTCGAATAGTAGATCAGTTTTATTTTTTGTTAAAGTAATAAAAAAATCAGCCATCATATTTGTATTCCTGCAATTTTCTTTTATCTACTTTGCTGTTTTTACTTTCATGAAGCATCAAATTCCTAATAAGAAATAATTACAATGAATTTGAAATATTACAATTCTCTTATTTGGCCTCTCCATCGGCCCCAAGTCATGAATCCAAAGCATGTCATCATACCTCCTACAAAATTTCCGGCGAAGTCATCAATCCATGGGACCAAACCTTCCATCTTGGTTTTGGTTATGCAACAAGTGTATATCGTGGGCTGTGAATTTATGCCTTTCTAAAAAGTGTTGATTGGAGCATTTATTTTTATTCTCAACAGTCTTAATCAGCTTTTTTTTTTTTTTTTTGAAGGATTTGAATTTTGGGCCTCCTTTTAACTATTATAGCCCAGGTACTTTGTAAACATGCTTATGACACAAAATGAGGAATACATATGCCATAGAATAAAGAAAAATACATCATCAATTGATGAGCCTGTTCAGTAACGCTTTTTAGTTGGATATGCCAGAAATAGCATCTAGCTTATATCCTTTTACCAACTTGCTCAGAATAATTATAAAGGGGTGATGCTAAATTACAAGTGTTTAAATGAATGACTGGTGGATGTCATATGAAACTAGCCTGAATATTTGAAATGATGCTGATTACTTTAATACCAAATGTAACCGCTGAAAGACACTAAAGATGAACTTCAGCACTACAGACTTTTGCTTGCATTTATTCTTTCAAATTTAATATCGCAGTACAGCTTATTGAACCACATTTGTAAACTCAGTTGAATATATATATTTTTTGTAATCGTGATTTATGGAACTGGTTGTTCATTTTTTGTATTGCTTTGCTTTCATTGGTTCAGTCCCCGCCAAGACAATTGAGCTATACATTGATATAAGGAGGTCAATTGAAGATCATGTTCGGGTTGGTAATGTACTTTGGTGTGTATGATGCGCTCATTTGGTTTTTTAGAGGATTCTCTTCTTTATTTTTTTTTGTTTCTGGTCAGGGCTTCACTGAACCTTCATCTGACAAGCTTCTACCAGATTTACATCCTCAAGAACAGCATGTCTTTACTCTTGTTCTGGACCTCAATGAGACTCTGGTGTACTCAGATTGGAAGGTATCTTTGTCTTAAATGTGGTTCTTATTTGTAACAATTATGTTTACAATTGATTAGTTGTCCATGCAGTTGCTTGTTCTGTGATTTGTGATTTATATTAATGCTTATATTCACCAATGTATCCATTTATGATAATATGGATCGACAATGGTTAGTTCTGTACACTAACTAATTAATGCGTCTAAGACTTGTTAACTCTTATATATTTTGCAGAATAAAGTGTCTATAAATTAGATGGATTTAGTTAGATGAATAGCATGAGCGTATTTGTAGAAAGGGTTGTGCGATATTACTCAGTAAATGGTTAAGGGTTCGAGCAATAGAGTGATTTTCAATATATGTTTAAGTCACGAATTAAGTTTCTATAAATTAATCTAATTTTGCTTGCATTATGTCGAACATTGAAAATTATATTGACTTGTTATATTTTGTGAAAAGAAGAAATGATCCTGATGCAAAAGCTAGAGCGCAGAAGTCTTCTCTCTCTCTCTCTTTATTTTCTTGATACAGTGAAGTGTGAGATGAGGTAGCACTTTAATCAACCAAACAACTAATATAAGTTTTATGAATTAACTCTTCGGAAGAACAATTATAAGTTGACATTTCTTTTAAAGCCATAGGGAGAAGAGGGTCGAAGGTGTTTATTCTTCATTTTCATTATGATGCCAATCAAATGATGAAATGTCAGCCTAAGGGAAGGTGATGTTAGTATTATTTTTCCCAAGAGCTAGTTTGTAACTCGCTAGAAGATAAGATATTCTTTAGTAATTTTTTTCTCAGTCAAGCAACATTTTGGCTGCGTACTCTCTTGTGTTTGTAAAGACAAGACTCTAATGACTGAAGATCAAGGTAAACCGATAATAAAGTTTTGCTATTACTCTGAAGTTGTATTTAAAATCAATATATTTTCTCTGGTAATAGAAGATTGATCTCGGACTGCGTGACTTCTCTGTCCTAATTAGATGTGATTGGCTTGTGCTTTTTAAACAGGAATGCATTCTCATTTGAAGCATAAAGGACAACTTTATACCTATTCTATTTATTAAATCACGAAAAGCTGAATAGACTTCATTATTTTTTTTTGTAGCGTGAAAGAGGCTGGAGAACATTCAAAAGGCCTGGTGTTGATGCTTTCTTGGAACATCTTGCCAAATTCTATGAAATCGTTGTGTACTCAGATCAGCTGAATATGGTAAATATGAAATATTCTTTTTGTTTCAGGCAAATATAGTTAGTTTTACAGTGCAACCGTACTGGCAGTATGTTGATCCTGTTATCGAAAGATTGGACCAGAAAGGTTGTATTCGCTATAGATTGTCTAGATCTGCAACCAGATACCAAGATGGAAAGCACTTTCGGGTATGCTAATTTGATGGCTTTTCTTTATTAATGTTTTCTTTTGTTATCACATATATTATATATATCTTGCCTTGTATAACTGACCTATGTTCAGTAAGGCTGCAAATTATCTGAAGGTGCATTTACATTATTCCATGTACTATATAATTGAATTTTTTTTATGCTTGTTTACAAGGCGCAAGTAATTCTATATAAATACTTTGATGAAGGGTAGCTTTGATACCCACTCCTTTTATTAAATAACACAATTACAATTTTAGTAAGTATAATAATTGTAAAACTTCTATATCCTGCAATGATTTATTTGTATATTCATCTTCTTTTTTCCGTGCACTGTATACTACTGAAGGATATACGGAAGATTTATTTTGTCTCTTTATCTTTGTGATGAAACCTACAAAGCATCTTCAAAATGCATATTAGTTCAATCAAAGTTAGTATTGATTTCTTGCCAGGATTTTTATCGCTGGGATAGTTTTTTAATAGCAATGGTTTTAGGGCACTGTCTTGCATTTGCAACAAGGGCTGTTCTCGTTTGCTTTCTAAATGCCAACAAATTTTTTGAAAATATTTAGACTCTGGCCTTTGGAAGGCTTCACACCTACTTCTTGTGTCTCCTAACCGAGAGAAGGGCTGACTTAGGTGCCACCTACTTCTTGTGTCTCCTAACCGAGAGAAGGGCTGACTTAGGTGCAATAGCCTGTTTGAATAGAATCAGAATAGTTAATTAACTGCCCTAGCACTTTTATGCGATGATTTGGTGGATAAAGTAAGCCAACTACTTTCCTCTTGCTACCAGGGCATTTGTGAACAGGTAGTCTTTTCCCATTTAAATAAGCACTTTTGCGAAGCTTAGCTTCCTTAGTTAAAGCAACATTTGTGGATCCCAATAGGGCCTTAATTTACTAATTTGATGGACTCATTTATTCGGTTATGTTAGTGATAGATGATAATTTATTTGCTCTGATGAAAGTCTATCTATAAATGGCAAAAGCAATTACGAAATTTTTTTTCCTTAAAATTGTGCAGTATGAGAAAAGTGGAGGGTTGCGTTAGGTAGTCGACAATTAGCATAAAATTTGTCGAATAATTATGGCATGAATCCTTTAATACATTATGTTAATGTTATGACATTCTCTAGAAGCGATGTGCTATATGACCTGAATACAGCGAGTAGTGTGCAAGGGTTGCTGCATCGGTGCTCGGGTGCAGTGTTAAATAGGCGAGGGTTCCCACTTCATGGATGAATGTGGGTAAAGAAGCTAGTACATGAAATTAGAGTTCAGATAGGATCTTGGAATGTAGGTTCTCTTACAGTCAAATTAATGACATTAATTGATATTATGATTCATAGGAAGATAAACATTTTATGCATTTAGACAACTAAATGGGTTTGAGAGAAGACCAAAGTGATCGATAGTTTTGGATTTAAATTTTAGTATCCTGGTAGAAGTTGTACTAGAAATGATGTAGGTGTGATTATATATATTTGAAGGATAATGTTATAAAAATTAATAGAATTAAAGAGAATTATAGGTTTGAAGATTATTATTGATGCTAAGCTTATTAATATAATAAGTGTTTCTGCTCCTCAAGTAGGTTTGGATATATGTTTAAAATTAAAATTTTGGAATGATTTAAAAGAATTGATTCAAAATATACCTCTTGAAGAAAGAGATTTTTTTGAAGGAGATTAAATGAACATGTTGGTAGAGAGGTAGATGATTTTAAAAGTATTCATGGTGGCTATGAGTTTGGAGCTACTAATGAAGGTGGTAAGACTATATTAGATTTTGCTCTAGCTTATAATTTTGTAATTGCTAATATCTTATTTAAGAAAATAGATGAGAATCACATCACTTATAAGAATGAATATAGTAAAACTCAAATTAATTATTTTCTTTTTATTATAAGAAAAATAGATCATTTAGATTGTAAAGATTGTAAAGTTATTCCGAATAAAAGTTTATGTACTCAATATAACATATTAGTTTTGGACTTTAAGATGAAGGGATTGCATATGAAAAATATAGTAAAATGTTATTCTAAGACTAGATGGGAGCATTTGAAGAACAATAACAAAATTATTATTGAGAGTAAGTTTCGAGATCTTAAGATTTTGTTTGTGCATGAGGAAGCGAATGATATGTGGGAAAAATTAGTTAGTAATATTAAGAATATTGCAAATGATGTGGTTAGAGTTTTAAAAAGAAAAAGCTCATTATAATAAAAATAGTTTGTGGTAGAATTAAAATGTGCAAGAAAAGATCAAAAATAAGAGATTTTGTTATAATAATTAGTTTAGACGTAAAAAATTTTGAAAATTGGGAAAGATATAAAGAGACTCGTAAGGTGTCTAGGAAAGTAATATGCGATACAAAGATTTTAGCTTTTAATGATTTATATAATAAATTAGATTATAAACAGGGTGAATGATATGTGTATAAGTTAGCCAAACAAAGAGATAGAAATAGTAAGAATTTAGTTTAAGTGAAGTGCATTAATAATGAAGATCAAAAAAAGACTTTTTTTAGAAGTGTATATTCAACAAAGTTGGATGAGATATTTTGTTAAGCTTTCAATGAAGATTGTGAGAATAGGATTGACTTTAGTGGCCTTAGCATTCTAAATGAAAATAAAGATTTTTATTTTTATCGGCGTATTAGTAAAACTGAAGTTAGAGAGGCTTTAAAGATAATGAAGCGTGGAAAAACTATTGGACCTACTGATATTCCAATAAAGGTGTAGAAATGCTTATGAGATGAAGGAATTTCTTGCCTTACTAAACCTATTAATATTATTTTGAAGACTCAAAATATGTCAGATGAGTGGAGAATGGCTGCATTGATTCTTATATTTAAGAATAAAGGTGATACACAAGATTGTGCGAATTATAGAAAAATTAAGTTGATGTGTCATACTTTAAAACTTTGGGAGAGAATTATGGAGCATAAGTTACGACGTGATACTAATATTTCTCAAAATCAATTTAGATTCATGCCAGGTAGGTCCACTATGGAAGCTATTCATTTATTGAGAGGGTTGATGGAGAAGTTTAGAGAGAATAAGGAGGAAATACTTATATTCAAGTCATTAGGGATATGTATGCAGGATCTATTACTTGTGTTCAAACAAAAGGTGGTTTGAGCAAGTATTTTTCTATTTCAGTTGGATATATCAAGGATCATCTTTAAGCTCTTATCCTTTTGCTTTAGTCATGGATGTTCTTACTAGACATTTGTAAGAGGATGTACCCTAGTGTATGCTTTTTACTGATGATATTCTTCTAGTTGATAAGACTAGAGAGGGAGTTGAAGGTAAACTCGAATCATGGAGGTCAATGTTAGAGTATAAAGGTTTTCATTTGAGTAGATCTAAAACCGAATACATGGAATGTAATTTTAGTAGTAATAGATCTAGTGGGGGGTTTGTGACTTTGAGCAATAAAGTTATTAATGAGTGTACTCGTTTTCGATATCTTGGGTCTATTATTTAGAGTGATGGTGAGCTAGATGGGGATATTATTAATAGAATTCAAGTTGGATGGTTGAATTGGAGGAATGCTTCGGGTTTGTTGTGTGATAGAAAAGTACCACTCAAACTTGAGGGAAAATTTTATATGATAGTGGTGAGACCTGCAATGCTTTGTGGCGCAGAATGTTTGCCATTAAAGGAGAAGTATAATATTAAGTGTTGTTGAGATGAGAATGCTTAGATGGATGAGTGGATTTACTCTTAGAGATAGGATATGAAACGAGCATATTCGTGAAAAGGTTGGAGTAGCTCCAATGATATAAGATTAGAGAAAGTCGCTTTAGATGGTTTGGTCATATAAAATGGTGGCCTTCCGATGACCCTGTTAGGAGAGTAGATGTATTAGATTTGACCCATGTTAAGGAATGTAGAGGTAGACCTAAAAAGACTTGGTTAGAAAATATTAGAAATGACATTTCTTTATTAGATTTAAATGAGAATTTGAATATTGACATGACTCAACGGAGAAAAAAGATTCATGTAGCCGAACCCACGTCATAGGATAAAGGTTTGATGTTGTTTTTTGATGTTGAAATTGTACAGTATGATCTTCAGTAGAATTTAAGTCTACTAATGATTATGACTAATAAATTCTATACCAGAAAGAATTACAGGAATATATGTAAAACAAATGAAGTAGACGAAAAGTTGTACAATAGAATTATCAATATTTAATGACATTGAAGACAGATAGGGGGAATTTGCTAAAGCATATTAGTAAACAGACTATAATTGAAATTTGAGTATGATGCATGGAAAAGCTTGGGACGTGTACATTTTAGAACAAATAATACCAATTAATCGATGTGAAGTGTCTATTGTGAAACCAAAGCAAATTTTAACCATCTTGGCTAGTTTGTGTCCGCTCTGTAAACCTTTATTAGGGCCAAGTTATTCATGCTTTTAAATCATGAATAAGATGAAAAAAAAGCAGAGCAAGAGATCAAGCATTTAGGTGATAATTAATTAAACAGTAGTTAGAGTAAATAAAAAAAAATATTAAATCTTTTAAGATTATAAAGCATAAATTCCAGTAAGAAAACTTAGTAGGCAGTAGAAGTATTTTTTTTCTGCAACTAATGAGAGGAAACAGGTTGCAGGATAAGGCTTGGATATAAAGTATTATTTGAATATAAACCTGATCATGATCCATCATTTTTGTTCTTAAAATAGGGTAGGTTGCATAGCTTGCTCATGAATTCTTATAAGGCATGAAGAATAGCATACCTAGTTTTCATGTATTGAGGAAATAAAGATAGATGCATATAAGACTTTTTTCGTACGCATGCCTCCTTGACGTGCATTCAGCAATATGCATGTGAGTAGGGGTTTCAAAAATTGACATGGTACGAAAACCTGACTCGAACTTGACCCGGATTTTTTTGTTTAGGGTCAACCCGGTTTAAGAACGGGTTGGGTTCGGGTCCCAATTTTTTACCCATTTCGAATTTCGGGTCGGGTTCAAGTTAACCCGCGAACCCGACAATGACTCACAAAACCTCTTCTCAAGCCGCAAGCCTCTAGATCCGACTTCGCTCCCGTCACTGCCAGCCAAACATCTCCACAAATCCAACAATGACTTGCAAAACCTCTTCTCAAGCCGCAAGCCTCTAGATCTAACTTCGCTCCCGTCACCACCAGCCGAACATCTCCTCCAAACCTCTGATGAAACCGATCGAACAACCTGATCAGCCTAGCTCGACTCACCTCTCCCAGTTCTGTTGATTCCGAGCCCCTCTACCTGTTGATCTTACTCAGTTTCCGATCCCGACGTAGATCTCCAATCGTGATCGAACCCGTCGCACCCCTTCCTGCAACCTCCAAGCACCTGTTCGACCTCCTTTCTTCCTCCCACACACTCGATCGACAACTCCATTATGCCGATCGATACAATCGAATCATCCCTACCCCAACGAATCGTGCCCGACTTCTTCCCACGATCCCGAACTGCCCTCTCTTGCTCGACACCAACACACAGCCGTTCGAATCCCTCACGCAAGCAGCCAAAACTTCCGATGCACCACTTCCCATTCTCCCACACTCCAAGCTCCCTCTACTCGATCGGACTCCAGTCGGTCTGATTCATTCAAAGACCCTCCAATCAGCTGCTGATCTGCACCTACCTCACATAAACGTCACACCATTTTGAGTTGTTTGATCCCTCTCTGCACCCACTCATTCCGCGATGTTTGTTAACCTGGGCTAATCGGGTCGGTCATGTCAACTCGTAACCCAGCGGGTCGGGTTCGGGTTGCATTTTCTACCCCGTTTGCAAAAACGGGTTAGATCAAATACTAGCGGGTCGATGTCGGGTGAACCCGAACCCAACCTTTGATCCGATTTTGACACCCCTACATGTGAGTCTGTTAAATGAGTAAAACATTAAACTGAGCAACAAAACTAACAGAAAACAAAAAAGGATTGGCGTAGAAGCAAAAAGCCATGAAGATCAATAATCTATGAACCAAAACAAAGCAGCATGACCGCTGTACAGTGGAAGCAAGCTAACACAACAAACTTGGCAACGAAAGTGTGCTTCTTGCCTTCTTGGTTTATTGTTATTTTCTCCTAAGGATATTCTTTTTAAGATTCATGGAACTGTTGAGACTGATTTTCTAGCATACTTATGAACTAGTTTTACTGGCAGGACTTGTCAAAGTTGAACAGAGATCCAGCACGAATTCTTTATGTGAGTGGGCATGCTCTAGAATCTAGCCTTCAGCCAGAGAACTGTGTGCCCATCAAGCCATGGACACTAGAAAATGATGATACGGCTCTTCTGGATCTAATCCCATTTCTTGAATGTGAGCTTTCTTTAGATCTTATCTCAGATCCTAATGGCAACCACCTACTAAAATTGAGCTTTTCTTAGTGAATCTAGATTTAACAGTTTGAATGTATCATTCATTATTTTCAATTCCATTACAGATATTGCTCTCCACCGGCCTGCTGATATAAGGCCTGTGCTTGCATCTTATCAAGGCCGTGACATAGCTGCTGAATTTATAGAGCGCTCAAAAGAGCATCAGAGGTAAAGGACGGTTGCTGACATTGTTTCTTATTCGCCTCACATCGTACCTTTAATTTTAAATGGCCCTTTAGAGTGCGATGATTTCATTTTTAGACCTTATATGATTGAAATTGAAATCATCACACTCAGGTGCGGAACCAGCCATAAATTTTAGGGGGGACAAATTTATAAGTAACTGTTCGCATATATGTCGGGGCTCCAAGAGGCAGCAACGCCCCCTGGCGGGATTCGACCAAACAAGGGGCAGCGCTCCCGGAACAAATTTTAATTTACTATTTCTTTTTGTATTTAGTTCATCATTCCCTAACAATAACACATATACACAATATATTTAATTATATTGGGGGCAATTGCCTAAAGACCATAGTATTTTAACATTTTTAGTTTTTTTCTGGAGGGGGGGGGGGCAATTGCCTAAAAACCTTTATAATAAAGACTAAAAATTACCTAAATAAGAGTATAATGAAAAAAAAAATTTCGGCCCTAACCACAAAGGGGTTCTGCCCCTGAAAACACTACGGAGTTTGTTGAGTTTATTATTATTTGCAACCAATCAAATTTTTACCAACTGAGAAAATTATCTAATATTGTTTTACAAAGGTCAGATACCTGATACCTTATTTTTGAATTTTTTTTGGGATTTTGCATCTCATTATCAGGAGGATGCAACAGCAGAAGCAACACGGCCATTTTTGGAGACGCTGAAGGTGCAGGTTCAAAGCCTAAACCCAAATATTGCTAAACATCTTAAATGATCTTTCACGAATGAATTAGATGTAGTTCTGACCTACATCGAGCTTTCCTCATACTAGGTTTTTTTTTTTCGTCGTTTATTTTTGGGCACTATATTCTTCTATTTGTTGCAATGTGGTGTCGCAGGTTTATTTGCCCTTCTTTATTTCTGCCCTAATTGTCAAGGTGCAATCAATTAGAGGAATTTTGGGTACTTGAAAACTAGGTAGTTTGATGATTTATTGGTGTTTGTATATGTATGTATGACTTTTGACATTTATTTAAGCTTGCATAAGTTCTTGAAATACGACTGGTGGCTTCTCCATTTCTTAGAACTGATGCCTGTAATTTATTTTAAGAACTGAGTGCAATGATGCTGCGTTTTTTTAAAATATATTATAAAAAGAGATGAATACAAACCACCTCTTACCACGGCGAATCCAGATGCGTCACGTCACCTGGATGCGACGCGTCTCCGAATGAATCCAGACGCCGCACGTAATAATTTTCCGTGCGGTTGGAGTATGGGGGGATGAAGAGATGATGCTATTGCTAGTATCATTGTCTTCTGTGTGTTTGTAACTACTCGACCTTCTATCTGTACTAGGAACCGAGTAGTACACCTTTTATAGATTTGTAGAACTAAATCGAAACCTTTTGCACCTTGTTGCTCCCTCCCTTCCTCCCTTCAACTTCAAGTTTTTCGCCAATAAGATCATGAGAGCATTTAAATTCAATAATGCATATTTGTTATGTGCCAAAATATAAATAGAATTCAATTGCTTCAATAACTAATCTGAGAAATAAATTAATATTGAATAAGCTAAGTGGCATAATAATAATCACAATTTATAGTTGTACATAAAGCATAAGTCTATTAAATCTCATCTGAGTGATGCAAAACTAGTAACAACAACATCATCATCAAGCATTTGTCTCACTACGTGGGATTGGCTATATGAATTTTTTTTTATCTGTGTCATGTTAAAAGTCAAATTCTCATTTAAATCTAATAAAGAAATATTATTTCTAATATTTTTTAACTGTATTTTTTTAGGTTTGTTGTTACATTTCTTAACATAACTAAAATCTAATACCTCAACTTTTTTAATTGGGCCATCGGGAGCCCTCTGTCTAATGTGATCAAATCATCTAAGTCTCTATCATTTTATATTTTCGATTGGATTACATCAAGGATCACCCTTAAAGTCCATATCCTTTTGCTTTAATCATGGATCTTCTCACTAAACATTTGCAAGAGGATGTACCTTGGTGTATGCTTTTTACCCATGATATTCTTCTTGTTGATAAGACCAAAGAGGGAGTTGAAGGTAAACATGAATTATGGAGGTCAACCTTAGAGTCTAAAGGTTTTCACTTGAGTAGATCTAAAATTGAATATATGTAGTATAATTTTAGTAGTAATAGACATAGTGAGGGGATCGTGATTTTGGGCGATCAAGTCATTAATAAGAGTAGATGTTTCTTGGATCTATTGTTCAGAATGATGATGAAATAGATGGGGATATTATTAGCAAAATTCAAGATATAAAATGATAGAGAACCTACAAATATAAAAGGATAGAGACTAATTTATAAAAAATAAACACATTGGGTGAAACTCATTGCACACAATATAGTTGGTAATGCACCTCGTTATGTGAATCCATCAACTGGCTAGTCAATATTCAAAAGAGTTTTATCGATAGCACATATAGTATGCTCATAAGCATATGTTATTTAAATTCTATATTACAATAACACTTCTCAGTGAATCTATATATAAAATGATCAAATTTGGTTATATATCAACATAATTCATGCTTTACATGAGCAATACTTATAACTCATTAACCAAAATAGTAAACACAAGTAAAAGCTATTACCACATTATATCAATATAATTGCAAGAATAATTATGAATAAATAAAGTATGCTCCTTATTATATAATTATGAAAAAATAAATAAATAACAAAGAATACACCTATATTAAGGAATGATATATTTATCATTTATTTAATAAAGAGCCACCTACCAGACAAAGATCACAAAGTCTAATATTTAAGTCATAATGTTGATCTTTTTATGCTCCAATACATGAGGCTCTACAAATCCTATATTCAAAAGAATTTAAATCAATCATAATTTGTAGCATTAAAGAGCCAATATAATCATTTTAAGTACACTTCAATAATTAATGTTGTTGGGTTCATCTCTTCGAAACATTTGGTTTGACTGTAGGTTTGTTGAAATTGGAGCTTTGGTGGTCCCACATTTAATTTTGGAAGTATCCAACTTGAATATGCCTCGAGATTCATGTTGGATCAAGACAATTTTTGGTAATGTATCAAAACAATCATAATGCTTGACATGATCATATCTATCATATGCAAAAATTTATATGGTGAAAGTTCACTAAAATTAAAAATATCACAATTTTTATAAGTTTTGATCAAATTAAAATTCATAAAATATTAAATAAACAAAATCATTTAAATCGGAAGTGGGATAATGATAATTGGATAGACAGACAAAATCAGCTCTAATAGCCCCAAACCTAAATTTTCCGCTCTTCTCTCCTCTTTTTCTTATCAATATTCCTATTCTATTCTCTAGCTTGAGGAATGTGAAAAATGAAAAATAAAATGGCTTTTGATGAGATCAGATAAGTGGACTTATATTTTTTTAAGAAATATATTAAAGATATAAAGGTACTTATGTCAATTGTTTAGATTTTAAGCATAAAATTATTATAAATTCTCTTATATCTTTAAATATGGGGCTCTGAAATTATAGAAAAATATTTATAAATTATCTAAGCATGTCTATAAAATTCTATTGAAATCGGTTTGAAAAACGAACACCTAATGGTCTAAGAAAACTCATAACGATGTGTCAATTTTTTACACTTTGCATAAAATTAAGAAAAAAAATTATTATAATTAAAGCAAAATAATATCTATAGTATGGTGAAGATAGTTTACAAATTGGACTTAGGCTCCTAAAAAATTATATGACTAGGTCAAAATATGAGCTATTACATTTTCATGAGATAAATTAGAAAATGTGGGTTTTTTTTTGCAAATAAAAAAAAATTATGTTTCCCAATAAAATGTTGGATTACAATTGAAGATTCAAAATGTTCTTATGAACAATCTTTAGTAATTTAGCTATATTTTGAAATAATACGGTTCTTCTTAGTAGTACATTCTGCTCCTACCATTAAGGCATTATGTTAAATTCTGGGATGATTTTATTTATATTTCCTTTACTGCATTGCAAAGAATTATATGTTATTTGATTTAAATATATGAGTTTGAGAAGATCTAATGTGGGTAGAGGTAGTTCTATTATGGTGTTAAATGCACATTTTAATGCCAAAGGCATATTCTGGTGCTACATGCACATTGTAACACCCTAGAATTAAATTTGAAATATTTATTTATATTATCTTTTTAAAAAAATATCAGAGCTTCTATAAATCATCAATATAAATAAAAACCAAAGAAAACAACTAAAAATTATATACCTTAAAATATTACACTATATTCATTCTCCCAAAATTAATATATAATACTTAGGAGATCAATACAATCACTAATTAAGCACAAACTCCTAACTACAAAAGAATAAAAAGAAAATGCATAACAAAGTTTAAAGAAAACCCAAGGATCTATATTTTTTAGATATTTAGGATTAAAATAATAATATAATATTATTTGGTCAAAATTTTAATATAAAATTCATATAAATTCTTTTGGGGCTTTAAAAATTTTAAATAAATATTCATAAATTAATTTTTTTTAAATACTAGTGAAAATAGTTTGTAAAACAGACCCTAAACAGTCTCAAAATCTTGTATCAATAGGTATTAATTTCATAAAAATTAGCACCAATACTCAAAATTTAATTATTTGGGTCAAAATATAAGTTATTACAATCTCCCTTAGAAAAATATCGCCCTCGATATTTGCACAAACAAAACATATCAATAAAGATAAATTCAATTCATAAATACATCAAACAATTCACCACGATTCAAAACCAATATTAAAACTAATAAATCAATTGAAATCCATTCAAAATCTCCAAAATATTGCATTCAATCAATCGTGAACTTATTAAAAACAATCATGCTCCAACATATCATTCAAGCAGAATATACTATGCAAATTATTAATCAATCAATTCAAGGATTAAAAATTTACCAGTGGATCCTCTAAGTGCATTCATGTGTTGTTACTCGGTCAAACTGTAAACTCTGGGTTATACAAGTGGCAATATTGGTGTAACAGACTATGTAGGTCCTCTTTGACATTAAGATATCCTTCTTTTATATGTCCTGCTTATAGACCCTTCAAAGTATTCTCTAGCCTTATCTAGTTTGCTCCCCTCTGAATCTGGATCCTATCCCTTGTTGTTGTAGTGGACAATCAGCCATCCGGTGTCCTCACTCCCCATGTATTAAATACTGTCCAGTTATCAAAAAATATGATCCACTATATCTCTTACCACATCAGACACACTTTAGCCTTATCTAGTTATGCCATCTCTTGATCTCTTTTTACTCATATCTTTTTTGAATAGAGGAATAGGTAAGTCATTCTTTACCAGTCTTGCCCTCTTAACAAGCTCTAAAAACTCCTGAATTCTCAACGGCACAAGTGGATGCCTCAATTTATCATTCAATTCTCTCAAAAGTATGTAGCATTTTTTATCATCAGTACTGACCAATTGAGGTGCATACCTAGCCAGGACAGTAAACTCTACTTCATACTACATCACTATCTTTTTCCCCAACTCTAATCTCATGAAAGCGCCATGCATCTATTTTTCAGGTTGAAAGAGGTACAAACTAGTATATGAAGATAACAACAAACTCTATCTAGGTGATATATGCATTCATCTTTCCTTAAAATTTCTTTCTATGTTGTATAATCCACCATCTCTTAGCTTCTCCTTCAACTATGAACACTGTAAGTGGTACTTTTTTTATTATTTGGGTACTACATACTGTCAAATATCTTCTCTATCATCAACAACCACTCCTTTATTGCCTATGGCTCTACAACTCTCTTGAACAATGGAAGTTTCAACTTATGTAATATATGTATATGCCTACCCCCTTCCGACTTCTTGTGTCCCACATATCTACTCTAAGCATCACTCATAGCCTGTGCAAGTATACTGGTTAACTGCATCATATTGTTAGAACTCACTAGAGTTGCTAATGAACTCTTTCCATTTTATGAATTTTGATCAGTAGGATCTACTGATAAAATTCTCTTTCCTAATCAATAACACAC